AGGACGAGCATAGCGTCCCCTTAGACCCACTCGAACGCTATGGTACGTGTATTTTTGTATGTTTCGTGATGAAAATAGGTAGTGTACGAAAAAACAGCCGGCAACAAATCTTTTTTTTTTCACTAAGGTTGCTTTCCGTTTCACGTATGATGCGCATGGAGAGCATGGAAGGCGGTCCGTTTCACTCCATGCTCCGTTCATGCGCGCATGAAAAAAAAAACGGCAGGATGTCTATACGGCTCGCAGCGTAAGACAGCGCATGGGCTGCCTCAGCTCCCGAGGTGAGGCAGTCCATGCGATATCTATGCGCGAGGGTTACTAGAGCACTAGAAACGTAGGTATTCGCGTCCACCATTTTTACTCCTTTCCCCACTGTTTTTCTCTCTTCAACCTTCTCTTTTCTCTCTTCAAGCTTTTTAGTTTAGCGGTGGAATAGAGAGAGAGCAAGGAATTGAGAAAAGGAGCGAGAGTGAGAAAAGGAGTAAAAATGGCGGATGCGAATACTCGTTTATAGTGCGTTTAGAGTTACGTTAGCCATTTTAGGCGGGAAAAAGTAACTAATTATTTCTATTGTTATTAATAGGGTATATAGGCGGATTTTAATTCGGAATTAGAATCCACTTATATACCCTATTGTTATTGTATGACATTATTGTGTGAAAAACCACATTTCTTTAAAAATGAACTTCATGTTTACAAAAACGATGAATTATAAATATTAAACGTATTCAACGCTGAATTCATAGTAGCAACAACTGATAGTAAGTAATATGGTAAAAAATTGTTCGTGTATATAAATATATATAAATATGTATAAATATTTATAAACATATATAATTGTATATGAAGTTATATACAATTATTATAATTACATATGTAATTATATATATCCACGTGTGTTTATTTATTCTTTTTTTTTTGTAAAATTGTTTTTTAGTGTAATAAAAATAATAAAAAAATGTCAAAATATAAAATTAAAGGGACAATTTTCGCATTGTTTGTTTTAGAAAAAAATCAAGTTTAGAGAAATGTTAAGTTTAGAGAAAAAAAATTACTCATACACATACATAATTATGTATAATTTTACATATAAAAAATTATCAGCAATTTTCTTACATTTCTCCAGATTTCTTTTTTAAAACAAATAATGGGAAAATAATAGAGAAATAATGGGAAAATTATCATTTTAATTTTTTTAATGTCTTCATTATTGTTATTATTTTTATTGCACTAAAATGTAATTTTACAAAAAGAAGAAGGATGTACGAGCATATGTATGTATGGACGTTTTATATATAAGTATATATATTTACGATTATGTATACATCTTTATGTATGTTTGTAGATACAAATTTTATATTCATACATGAAAAATTTTTTACCCGAATTAATATCGTAAGTTTTGTAACCTTGAACATCAAGATTCTTTAAAAAGCAGCAATGTATTATTTATTCCAAATGCCTATTAGACTTATATTTTTTATCTAGACTGTTTACAATCGTATGCATGAATTGCGTAGGATCCGTTCCGTTTCTTTATGCGCTGCATGCGCATGGGAAAAAAGAACCGAGTTAATGCGCGCATAGGATGCGCTGCGTTCCATGCGGTCCATGCGTGAAACGGAATGTACCCTAGGACACGGCAAGCATTGCAGGAACCACAAATGGGATGTATATCGTCAGTCGTGCAATTTTATTTTGTTTTGTGTAAAAATTAATTTAGGAATTCGATATTATTTAACGTTATATGTGCCGAAATATAAAAAATATAAAACTAAAAAAAGTTTTAAAGATATCCAAAGAAGCTATCTTTTAGGTATCATATGGATAAGACTATGGGTGCGTTCCGTTACTCGCATGATGCGCATAATGCATCGTTTATCTTTGTTGCTCACCAAATGTTAAATAAGGACAATGGATGCATCATGCACATCATGCGCGATACGGAACGCACCTTATAAGATGACTAGCAGAGCGACATCTATCGTTTTTTAGTCATCTTTTCTTCGACTATATTCTTTTACTAAAAGCTATCTTTATATAACAATTTACTGTCATCTTTTAATCATCTTTTAGACGACTTTGTGCTCTCTGCGGACATAAAATTACTAAATTATATACTCTTATTATATATAATATTTTACGATAAAGATTTTCTACATGCGCAATACATCTCTTTCTGCGACAATACATATGATTACGAAATTTGTGGCGTTACATACTATAACTTTTGGGAAAAAAATTTTTTTAATATGTATATTTATTATGTTTTTATCTTGATCACTTGGATGTTTTAATTTGAATTATAATATATAAATTTAATGTACTGAAGATGGTCACATGTTAGACCGAAACGTTTACCTAATTTTATTTTGAAATATATACTTTAAGCTAAACACATCAAGTGTTGTGGCTGTATGCTCCTTATTGTTTACAATTTTCAAACTTAAGCCACTTATTATTTTATTTATTTTATTTACTCTTATTATCTCCTCGCATTGAGTCTGTGGGTTAAAACTTCAAAAAAGTCAAATAAAAAGTTAATACTAGTTATCGATAAAGCGATTAAATTAAATTAAATTAAAAAGTTAGAGTCTGAAATGTAACCAAGTTAAATTAAAGTTAATTAACTTTTTAACTTATTTTTTAACCCTTTAACTTAGCACTACCCAACCCTATTTATACCATGTAAGATATTTCAAATGACAGCTTGTTATGAGCATTTTAATCGAGTGACTTATTATAATACATCCAGAGAGTACAAAGTCGTCTAAAAGATGACTAAAAGATAACTAAATCGTTATAAAGATATATTTTAATGAAAGAATATAGTCGACGAAAAGATGATTAAAAGATGACAGATGTCGCATCGCTAGTCATCTTATAGCCTTATCCATATGATAACTAAAAGATGACGGCCCGTATTCAGAACGCGCTTACAACGATGTTAGCACGCTAACATACTATACTTTACGTCACGTATATTATAGAATTTCAGAGATAAAAGTGCGCTTTTATCGATAAAAGTGTGTTCTGAATACGGGCTGACTTCTTTAGATAGTTTTAGTTGTATTGACAATTTCTTTTAGTTTTTATTAAATGTTATATTTTGGGACATATAACGTTTAATAACATCGAATTCCTAAATTAATTTTTACATAAAACGAAATGAAATTGCATGACTGACAAATATACATCCCATTTCTGGGTCCTGCAATGTTTGCCATGTCTTATGTGCCTTATCTTTCATCATAGTCTCCTTTGAGGACTTGATTACAAAAAAATATTTTATTAGCGTTCATTAGAACACGAGTAAAATTTCTCATAATGCTGCACCTTTTATTCTATCCTGTATGATTTTCAAACACGAGAAACTGAACTCCACCATGTCTATCTGGTGGCGATCCCGTGTACTGCTCGCGAATGAATGATAAAAAGTACCAAAATAATAGAAAGACGTCTTTTTCGTCTAGTCTTTTCGGCAATATGAAAAGATATCTTTTAGTCGACTTTTTGCTTTGCGAAAATGACAGCCATAGAAAGATGACGAAAAGACGTCTTTTTTAAGTTGTCTTTTCGACAAAACTAAAAGATGTCTTATAGACATATTTTCGTCTTGCTGAAAAGACAATCTAAAAACGATGTTTTTAGTATTTTGTGCTGTCTGGGCACATAATATCAGGAATGGTAGATAACGCATGTTACGTGTAACGCCGTTAATTTTCTTATCGTTACTTTGTTATAATAATGATTTGGTGATGGCAAAGTTTTATGACTGTAACAGTAATATCAGGGTTGTAAAGTCACTCGAGCACAGAGAATGGAAGTACCTCGTTACTTGTAACGAAGTTACAGTTACAAGTTATTTTTTTGTTAACTTTACTGATAACTGTATAACTTTTGTATTTGGTAACTGTAATGGTAACGTAGTTACATTTTTTTGGTAACGGTAACGAATTTTATAATTATTTTTATCGTTACTTTGCACATAATTGGACACGGTTGATTGGACACAAGTCACTCATATTAGCATTTAAGGCTAAAAAGCCCCTAGGCACTCGTCCATTGTAATTGGTGCTTATCGATTTTAAAAAAGTAATAAAAAGTTACTTTCTCAAGTAACCGTAAGTAAATCCGGATCTACAATAGGTGTTTTAAGTCTTAAGCCGTAAGAAATTGACCAACTACAATTGAATGCGAGGGGAATAAGTGATTGTGATTCGTCCATTCCTTATGGCTTATGAAGCTTAAAATCTATTGTAGATCCGGGATAACTGTAACGAATTACTTTTAATGATAATTTGTTACTTTTTTTACTCGATAACGAGTAACTATAACTTGTTATTTGTAAAAAGCAACTTTTCATTACTTAGTCGGTACTTAGTTTCATTATTTAGTTTCATTACGATTGTTACTTGTAATGTGTTGGATAACTCGGTGTATGAATAACGATCGAATGACTTTCCAACTCTGGATGTTACCGTTACAGTAAAACAGATTCGCCATTACCAAATCGTTATTATAACAAAGTAATAATGAGAAAAGCAACAGTGTTACAAATAACGCGTTACTTACCATTTCTGCATAATATGTATATAATGTGTATGATTTATAAGAGATTGCACATATAGCTCGTATACTATTTCGCGATACTGTTTAAATTCGCATCTATTCGAATTTATTAAAAAACAAGCTTGTCTACAAATTAGAAAATGATAGTTAAATTTTTCTCCTAAAAAAGTTGACTTTCTCTTATCTTTCGTTTACTGCATTATTATTCAGCAGTTTCATGCGCACAAAAAAAAACTCGATGCATTCCTTACAGAAATTTAGTGTATTAGAAATGATTTTACTTTGAAGATTAAAAACACTAAGCAATAGTGCTCTTAATATTTAAAATAAATAATTACCTTCTAGTATTAAAGGAGGATGTTAAAAAGAGGCCAATTTTTACTCACAAAGGTGTAAAAGAAATAGTAAAAGAAATAGTGTTTTTTTTTGTAGATTTCGATCTCCTGAATATGATAAAATTATTAAAAAGTTCGTGGCATTTGGGAAACACCTTGAAAAGTAAACAAGTGTATTGAAATTTGTTTAAATATATCGTATTATGTTCACTTTTTAAGATGTTCTCTATGACCCTATCCATCCCGAATTTTTTATTATAACATTATTGTATTTTCAGGAGGTTACAATCTATAAAAAACTTTATTCCCTTTTTACTTACACCTTTATGGGTAAAAATGGGCCCCTTTTAACATTCTTCTTTCTGTAAGAGATGTAAGGACTGATGTGTCAAATAACATGTCAAATAATACATAGCTATATAAACATTCTCCTTATTGTTTTCATGTTGTTTTCTAAAATGGCATTATAAAATTTCTAAAAAGACGAGCTTTATAAAAGAATTTAATGGGATAACTTGAACAGTAACATATATGCCTTGCCTTATAACTACAAGCTCGACTTACAATTAGAATTATACTCAATATTTATATGAATGTCTATGAATACGACCGGCGAACTGCATTGACAATTCAAGAATTGATCGCAAATCAATGATTTACTATAAACAATAATATTGTTTTCTCTATAAATAATATCATATCCATAATGCAAACAATGAAAGAAAACTGAATCAATTCTCATAACACTATAATCGACAAACGTCGATTCTTTTTCGACAATGCTCTGCTTTATCGTTAATGGCGAATGTTGTTTTTGTAGATTTTGTAGATGTCTCGAACGACACTCTTAAGATTTTCAATTTTCAAATTTTGTTACTTTTTCGAAAGATGAATTCAACAATAATTACCATTTCAAATAGAAAAACAAGTAGAATTTCTAAGTTTTACAAGTAATTGTACGCTCCAGGGTGTATGCAGGTATGTGCGTATCTCTCCGGTGTGTCTTCGCCGTGACTTTATTATTCGTTGAGCACACAGGTGCGGACCAGGGCGTCGCAGACAGAGTAGGGATCGCAATTGCTGCTAGGCCTCCTGTCTTCCAGGTAACCCTTCTTCTCCTCGGCAACACCACGGGGAATGCGGATGCTGACGTTTCGGTTGGCTACCCCAGCACTGAAGTCATGAATATTACTGGTTTCACATTTGCCAGTCAGCCTGCGCTCGTTGTCTTTCCCTCCGCGCGGATCGTACGCCTGAATGTGTCTGAGATGTTGCTTGCTGAGCTTGTCGATCGCCTTTTCGATTTCAGCGATACCGTTATCACCGCGCATCGCCTTCGTCGAGAAGTTGGTGTGAGCACCGGCGCCGTTCCACGAGCCGTCCACTGGTTTCGGGTCTAAGCTAACGATCACACCGTATTCTTCGGCGATGCGATGCAGAATGAATCGGGCGATCCACAGATCATCTCCGGCATTGATGCCCGCGCACGGTCCCACCTGGGTCCATAATAAAAGACACGATAATGACTCTTTGTAGAGAGATATTTTCTTCCCGCAGAGAGAACTTTATAAATTAAATTATAATCTCGAGTTACCTAAAGTCTGTAAATAAAATTTCCGATAAGTTACAATTATCAAACTAAATTTGCGATATGATCCCGATTGAATTTCTACTATTTTTAATTTTATTTATTGGATTTTAATATTCAAAATAAAAAAATCGTTTAATTGCATTAATTTTAAATAAAGATACATTAATTTAAAGTACACTGGAACTTGCAAACATCAGTTTAAGAAATTTCGGAGCAAATACTGATTATAGTTAAAACTATCGACGTTTGTTATAATGTTATCGGATTAGATCGCATCTTAATATATAATAAAATCCCCTTCTTTCTTTATAATTTTTATAATTGTTATTAACCCTTCCACCACACACCTCCTATTTCAATCATCCACCACACATGGGGTCTACTGGACCCCAATGGCTAGAGCGGCGATTGCGTCAGCAATTTTGACTATTTTAAATTGGCAAAATTCATGGATGTCTTGAATGTATAAGTAAAAAGGTAGAATAGTCGAAAAAAATTAAAAAAATTTTTAACATTGTTAAAAAAAACAGGAAATGTGAAAGAAAAAATGGAAAAAATGACCTTTTCTACTTAAAAAATCATAAGTTTTTTATTTGCCTCTGCTTCTCACCTCATAAGCAACAAACGGGGATGCACCCCGCGTGATCTGCTTCTAGTAGTGTCGAATAATCGATAGAGGGCGCCACAAGTCCCGTTTCAAATATTAAGGTGGTCAAATCGAAGCGCGAACCGGGACTGGGGTCCCTGGGACCCCGTGTGTGGTGGAAGGGTTAAAGAAAAATTGTTTCCGAACGCTGGATGCGTGTATTCTCTTTTTTTTTATTTCAACGATTCAATTATTCACCTGGAATTCCCATTGCGAAGGCATCACCTCGGCGTTGGTTCCCGCGAGCTTCACACCAGCGTAGAGGCAGGCCCTGTAATGGGCCTCGACGATTTCGCGACCGATCACTTTGTCGGCGCCAACGCCGCAGTAATAAGGACCCTGTGGGCCTGGAAAGCCGTTCTTAGGCCAGCCAAGTGGCCTACCATCGAAGTCTAAAAGAGTATACTCTTGCTCGATACCAAACCAGGGTTCTTGATCATTAATAAACTCCATCGCCTGGTTTGCGCGATACCGCTTGTTTGATTTCGTTGGCGTCTTGTCGCTGTAGTAGGTATCACATAACACGAGCTTATTATTACCGCGGCGGAAGGGATCGTTATAAATCGCCACCGGGTAGAGGAATATATCACTGTTGGCACCGTCGGCCTGGTACGTCGAGCTGCCATCGTAAGTCCACGTAGGTAGGTCTGGAAAAGATAATTGAGTTTGATATTTCGTGTAGAAATAGCAATAAATTATTAAGCAGATCGCGTTTACTGGAATTTCTTTCTTAATAAAATTGCTATTCGAATTTCTTCAGTTACTATCTTCCGCAACCAATTTAATGAAAAATAAATTATTAATCATTCTTAATTTTTAAAGAAAGTATTAGTACTTTTTCAATTTGTGATAATAAATATATCGATAATTGGCTAGCTTTTAATCCTGAAAAATAAATCCTCAGATTAAATTTTAAAATGTAGAAATGTTTAAAATGTTCAATGTAATTCTGATAAAACATTCAAATTGATTTTTTCTCCGAAATGTGATAATTAATTAAGAAATGGAATTTTTTCATGTATTCATATTTATTGATTTAATCAATTTTAATGGCTTTTATTTTTTCATCAAATTTTTATTTATTTCTACTCACTTTTATCAATCCCATACAATTCTTCATGAAAGGAACGTCTTCGGACGTTCTTAGGATATCTTTTTTTAGGAGAACTGTGTTGTATGGGCGGTTACATCCGGGTATATTAATATCCGAATTTATGAGTTGCAAGACAATCAAAGGCAGTTGATCACGCGGACGAATTATCTTTAATAAATAAATTTTTTCAGGGAAATATGTGTCCATAATAGATTTTCTCCTTTCGAGGAGAAACATTTCTTTAATAAAATATCCTTTCCTTTTAGGAAAAAACATTGCTTTTAAAACAAATTTTAAAATTGAAAGTCTATGAGTCAAAGCTGGTTATTAATCGCCATTAATTAAAAACTATTTTTATTTAACAATTATTTAATAATTCTAGTTAAGATACAATCCAAATAAACGTTTCGACTAATTATTAAGGGAATCCTAAAGCGAATTTCGAACTCCGACGAAGTCACCAGAGGTCGCGCCGCGCGCCCCGTGTACTACCACGTCTCAGATATGAAACCTACTATGATACACGCAGTTGCACATTCGTGTCAATTTTCGTATAACAAACATTACATTAAATACGAAGCGCCACTATACGGTGCTTCGTATTTAAAATAATGTTTCTAACATAAACGGTCTTATTTTCAATCTTATTATTGTTTATACATGCTCGCCTAAAAATGTGTAACTCTCTATACATATCGGTTATTGCGAAGAATATTGCTGAGGTCTCGGTACTCTAAAGACTTAGGACGTTCGCACGGAATACAAGAGATCCGGGTTCGACTCCCGGCCGAGGCAATATTTTTCGCAATAAGTTTATCAGTTTTTTAAGATTAAATTTGGGAAATTTGAGGAAATTATTAATATTTCAGATTGATTACGTTGAAAGTCCGACAATCATATCGGCACGCAATCAGGAGACGCGGTAGCGGCTCCCGTCAAGTATATTTTTGTAGTACATAATAATATATAATATCATGTCTCATGAAAGAGACGTTACAGCGTATCCTTTACAGGAATGAATTCGCTTATATAATTAAAAATTATTGTTTTGTTTAAACAAATTGATGTTATTAAAAAATGCATATATTGGGGAAGAACATAGATTTTTACAATTAAAATGAGATAATAATCATATCCATAAGTGTATTTGATGCTTAAATATGAATATGTGCACATATTTTTCAGCCCAATTTATGTCATTTATTCGTTCAGATTCGTCGTCGCTGTCGCCGTCGCCGTCGCCGTCGCCGTCGTCCTCTGCACTTTTTCGACACCTTTTCTACACTTGTTCTACATCTTTTCTGAACTTTTACTGTACCTTTTGTGCACTTTTTAGGCACCTCTCTCGCATTCTTTCGGTATCTTCGGCATCTTTCATGTACCTTTTCTACACTTTTTCTACAACGGTACCACATCTCTCACACCTCTCCCACCTATTATAATTTCGCATTTCTTCTGCACCTCTCCGCATCTCTTCTTACCGTTTCCGCATCTCTTTTGTACCTTTTCCGCATCTTTTCCGCGCCACTTCTACATTTCTTTTACATCTCTTCCGCATTTGTTCTGCACTTCTTCGCATCGTTTCTGCATATCTTTCCCATTTCTTCTACATCTCATCTGTCTGTATACATTATTTTATTTATTTACATATTTACTTATATATCTACATTATCTATTCACCTATCGATGTTATCTATCCATCTTCCAATGTTTCATCTATTCACCTATTTATTATGTTTTATTATATTTTTATTTGGCTATTTACGATATTTATCACCTGTCTACGTTATATATCTACTCATCTATATTATCTATTTATTTACCGGTAAAAATTTTTTAAACGTTAATATGTATAAATATATATAAACACGTATAAATATTCATAATCATAACTATTATATATGAAATATGTCCATACATCTTTCTTTTGTAAAATTACTTTTTAGTCAATTTTAGTGTACTAAAAATAATAATAATATTGAGAAAACATGAAAAATAATTAATGGGACTATTTTCGCATTGTTTGTTTGAGAAAAAATCAAGTTTGGAAAAATTTTAAAAATTTTGCTCATATATAACTATATATATAATTTTATATGCAACTATATATGAGCAATTCTTTTACATTTTTCAAGAATTCTCATTATTATTATTTTTAGTATACTAAAAAGTAATTTTACAAACTAAAGAAGGGTGTATAAACATGTATGGACACATCTCATACATAATTATATATGTTTATGAATATTTATATATGTTCGAATGAGAGTATGAGTAAATTGATAAAGATTGATTAATATGAAGATCAGACAGAACGAAATTATAAGCTGATAGTTTTTAATTAAACTAGATAATGATAATGAAATAATGATTTATTTCAAACAATATTCATTTATTTATAATTTAATAGGTTTGTTTTCTGTTCCTGCACTGGTTGCACTAGTTCAAAAAGTGTACACTAAAGCGTTTTCTGTACCCAAAATGGCGTCAGCGACGGTGTTTTTTGTTCCAGTGCAACAAAACTCAGTACACGAGTTCACCAAACTGGCTGCACTAGGTCTTGAGTCAGTGTAAGCAGTGCAAGCACCGGTGTGCACTAGTTCAGCTACAGAAAACATATCTCGCGTAAATGACGCATAGCAAATGGTGGCAAGTTCAAGAGTCCACAACTAATAAAACGGTAAGTATATGGAAATAAAAACTTTTCTCGATCTAAAAAACTTATATTTACATTTCAATAATTATGCATACATACAAATAAAAACCGTCACAATTAGCTAAAAATCGTAATTATTGAGCATCAAATTTGTAAAGTTAGAAAATGTCATGTTAAAGTATAATAATTATACCACAACTACATTTTATAAGCAACGATTTCCACTTATTTATAATAAAAGTTGAAATATATCTTTTATAATATATACACGTATATTATACTATATGGGCTGAAAAGTCCCGGGATTTTAAATGAAAACAAGTGTTTTTTGGGCAAAGTTATATTTATTCCTCAACATAGATGCCTTCGAGGGCGATACACTTGGTATAACGATTTTCCAACATTTCGATGCCCTTTCTGTAGTACGAAACGTCCAAGCCTTCGAAATACGCCTCGGTTTCCGCGATGACTTCCTCATTCGATCTGAATCTCTTTCCCTGGAGCCATCGCTTGAGGTTTGGGAACAGATAATAGTCGCTGGGGGCCAAGTCTGGAGAATACGGTGGGTGAGCAACCAATTCGAATCGTAATTGGTCCAATTTGGCCATCGCTTTCAAGGACGTGTGTGACGGTGCGTTATCGTGATGGTACAGAACTTTTTTCTTCGCCATACGGGGCCGTTTTTTCTTTATTTCGTCGTTCAGTTTGTCCAATAACTCTGCATAATACTCTCCCGTAACTGTTCTTCCCTTTTGCAAGTAATCGATGAAGATTATGCCATGCGCATCCCAAAAAACGGCGGCCATAACCTTCTCGGCCGAGCGTTGGTCTTTTGACCGCTTTGGTCGGCTTTCGTGGCTTTCCAGCCACTCTGCAGACTGCCTATTGGACTCAGGCATATGGTAATGGACCCACGTTTCATCCATCGTCACAAAACGTCGAAAAAAGTCCGCTCGATTACGCCGCAACAACGCCAAACCGGCCGTTGAATCATCAACGCGCTGGTGTTTTTGGTCGACGGTCAGCAAACGCGGCACCCATCGCGACGATAGGTTTTTCATCTCTAAAAGATCATGCAAAATGTATCCCGCCCGTTCTTTTGAGATGCCCACAGCCTCAGCTAACTCGCGCAACTTCATTTTACGATTACTCAAAACGATTCGATGCACTTGCTTTACGATTTCCGCATTCGTAGCCTCTTTTGGCCTTCCAGAGCGAGGTGCGTCTTCGGTGCTTGTACGATCCATTTTAAATTCACTAAACCACCGATAAACTGTTGTTCTCGAAGGAGCAGATGTGGGATAACATTTCTGCAACCATTGCAATGATTGTTCAGAAGTTTTTCCCATCAAAAAACAATGTTTGATCAAGATGCGATGTTCCTGTTTTCCCATTTTTTTTACGAAGGCGAAAGTAGCGTCACTCAAACGACTGTAGCTTGTAAACGAATGGACGAAATGTCATGAAACTTCATACATAAACTAGTGACAGATGAGCCTCTTGAAATGAGTCATGTTCATTTTCTAGTGGTGCCACCTATTGAAAAATCCCGGGACTTTTCTGCCCATGTAGTATA